GTTTTTCTAGATATGTTTCCTTAGCCAGGGAAACAAAAGCAAAAATAAACTATTGGTACTACACCAAAATAAAAAGGTTTTGCATAATAAAGGAAACCATCAACAAAATGACAGGGAACCTACTGAATGGGAGAGATATTCCCAAATGATGTATCTTATAAGGGGTTAACACCCAAAATATATAAAAAACTTACACAACTCAACACCAAAAAAAAAAAAAAAAAAAGAGTAATCTGATTAAATTCAGATTACCTGAATAAACATACCCATGGCCAGCAGACACATGAAGAGGCTCAACATTACTCCTTGTCAGGGAAATGCAAATCCCTGACACTACACTACAGGGTAATGATGATAAATCACTACAGTGAGGTATCATGTAACACCTGTCATAATGGCTAAAATCAAAAACACAAGAAATAACAAGCATTGGCAAGGATGTGGGGGAAAAGGAACCCTGTGCACTGTTGGTGGGAATGCAAATTGGTGCAGCCACTGTAGAAAAAAGAATGGGGTTCCTCAAAAAATTAAAAATAGAACCACCAGATCATCCAGTAATTCCGCTACTAGAAAACAAAAGCACTAATTTGAAAAGATATATTCATCCCAGTGTTTATTGCAGCATTATTTTTAATAGCCAAGATTACAGAAGCAACCGAAGTGTCCATTAATAGATGAACGTATAAAGAGGATACAGTGTGTGTGTGTGTGTGTGTGTGCATGTGTATGTGTGTATAAAAAAAGAGAATATGAATATCATTCAGCTCTAGAACAATAAATGAGATCTTGTCATGTGCAACAACATGGATGGATCTAGAGGGTAAAATGCTAAGTGACACAAGTCAGGGAAGAATAAATACCATTAAGATTTCACTCTTATGGGGGCGCCTGGGTGGCTTAGTCGGTTAAGCGTCCGACTTTCGCTTAGGTCATGATCTCGCGGTTCGTGGGTTCGGCCCCGCGTCGGGCTCTGTGCTGACTGCCAGCTCGGAGCCTGGAGCCTGTTTCAGTCTGTGACTCCCTCTCTCTCTGACCCTCCCCTGCTCACGCTGTCTCTCTCTCTCTCTCTCTCTCCTAGAAATAAATAAAACATTAAAAAAAAAAAAAAAAGATTTCACTCTTATGTAGAATTTAAGAAATAAAACAAGGACAAGAAGATTTTAAAAATAAAGACTTTCTTTTCTTTTTCTTTTTTTTTTTACACAAATCGGTATGAGGGAGAAGGAATTTTAAGTAGGATCCAATGCTCAGGGCAGAGCCTGATGTGCGGCTCTATCCCATGCCCCTGAGATCATGACCTGAGCCCAAATCAGGAGTCAGACACTCAACTAACTGAGCCACCCACACAGGCCCTGTAAAACATACTCTTAAATACAGAGAACAAACTGGTGGTTGCCAGAAAGAAGAAGGGGGTGGGTGTGTGAAATAGGCGAAGAGGATTAAAACTACTTATTTTGATGAGCACTATGTAATGTATAGCATTACTGAATCATTATATTGTACCCTTGAAACTAATATACTGCATGTTAATTACACTTCAATTTAAAAAAAGGAAAGAGATCTAGATATTTCATTAAAAGATTATATTTTAGCCTCTTTACACCTTTAGTAAATCAACTAGAGACCTGTTATTTATTTGTTGGTTGGTTGGTTGGTTGGTTGATTTATTTATGACCCTCCCTGATTTAAAAAATCAAATGGGAAATCAATATACAGTTATGAGAATGAACAACAGCTACAGGCAACAGCATGGATGAATCTCACAAATATAATGTTGAGTGAAAGAAGCCAATCACAAAAGAATAGTAGTATGTGATTCTATAATTCTGTTTCTACCAAAGTTTTTAAAAAAGGAAAAACTGATCTATACTGCTATTAGAAGTCAGAATATTGTTTATTCTTGGTGAAGACAGAGGGGACAAGATTGAAGGGGTACACAAAAGGGGCTTCTTGGATAATGGTTGTATTCTGTTTCTTGATCTGGGTCTGAGTATCAGTTCAGTTTGTGAAAATTCATCAAGCCGTATACTTAGGATATGTCAATTATATATATATATATATATATATATATAGTATATGTGTGTATATGTATACACACATGTATAACATATATTAAATAAAGAGTAAAAAGAAAGCAAAAATTAAATATAAAAAATGACTAAGCCAAAATTCCTCAAAGATAATTTTTTTATATCTTAAGAAATTAACATTACATTTTTAATTATGTTCATCAAGCTTATTCAATCACTGAAGTATAAGAGAAGCAAAGTGCAAGGTCCTCAGTATGACTGGATTACAGAGAGGTAGTTCATTTGAGTTTTTAAAACAAGTATGTTTATTCAATGATTGATTTGTTTAAAGGCTTTAACTCCAAAACAGATTAAGAAAATAATAATAATTTCAGTATGTAGAAATAGCTAGCTTATAGAAGGAAAATCCTAACCAGCATTAAGTTGATTTTTTTTTTTTTTTAGGATATTGAGGATATTTATTATTGAAAGTATACCAATGCCAACTGATGTGTAAGGCACTGGCATCATTTGTTACTTCAGTCTTCACTAAGGAATATAAGAAAGGGATTATTATACACCCTATTTTGCCAAAAATAAGATTTCAAGAGGATCTTGGCCAATAAAATGTAGACTCCAGGTCCATGTGATGAGAAAATTAATGTCTTCCCAGTGTCTACTAAGATGTCTCATCCTGGGAGAGCCATTTAACCATCTGATGGTTAAAAACAGAGGAGAAGGATTTTAAACCAATAGTGCTGTAAGCATAGTAAATGGAATTAAAGCTTGGGGAGAGGCTGCTTTTTCAAATGTATTATTAGCTTGAACAATATGAAATAGCCGTTTTTGTAGGTCGAGATGGTTTGCTAATGGTAATTTCAAATACTTATAAAGATACCTTTGATGGGGCGCCTGGGTGGCTTAGTCGGTTAAGCGTCCGACTTTCGCTTAGGTCATGATCTCGCGGTTTGTGGGTTCGAGCCCCGCGTCGGGCTCTGTGCTGACTGCCAGCTCGGAGCCTGGAGCCTGTTTCACAGTCTGTGTCTCCCTCTCTCTCTGACCCTCCCCTGTTCACGCTGTCTCTCTCTCTCTCCTAGAAATAAATAAAAATATTAAAAAAAAAAAAGATACCTTTGGTATCCAACAGTATTGATATGTAATGATGTATTTTAATACACACACAAATAATAAATAGTTATAACTTATCTCTAGGGCCTTTCTCTTAGGAAAAATAAGATAATACAGTAGTTTTAAAAAGAGTTTAGGGTCGTGAGACTCACCACTTTCTAGTCGTGTACATTGGGGCAAGTTAACTTCATCAGGCTTATATGAGAGTAACAACTTTACCTCCTAAAGTTTTTGAAAATTAAATCATGTAACACCTAACTCTTAGGACAGTATCCGGCATATAGAACACATTCAATATGTAAAGTCACAGCTCCTTGCAGTTGGATTCTTCTATTTGCAAACACATCACAGAATATACTGTTAGGTAAATAAAAAGGGCAAAATTGAGCCAATGTTTATGAAAGTCTATTCTATATACAATAACTTTGGGATAACCTGGGATTAAAATAAGATACAGTCCCCAGTGTTACACAATATGGTTATCATATTATTATCAGGTTATTATCACTTAAGGAGATAGCAATTAGGAGAGATCTAGTTCCTTCTTGTTTTCCTAATTCCCATCTTTCTACTTGTCATTTTCTAAGCAAGAGGGCCATCTTTAGATTACTGAAATATTGACTTCTGACCATATTGTGAGCTCTTTCTGTAAATGTGCTAATGGAAATGAAGACCATCTAGGTCATTCATGTGGCCGCTGTGCGACTGAATTAGTAAGGCCGAGGTGATGGGTATGAACTGGGCCAAGGCTGACTGGCTCCTCCTGATTGCTGACAAGGTAGCCAGAGTTGCTCACTTGTTTTTTATATATTGATGAATCTGAGCACACAGGGAAGGTAGATTGTTGATCAAAGAGAGGAATCTTGTTTATCTCCTAAGCATGACACAAAGAACAAAATAAACATGAATAGACATATGAGTAAAATGTTAAAATAGGCTAGAAGTTGAGAAATATTTATGACATTTATAAAAACAAATTGTGAAAATCTTGAAAAATATGTGCTCCAAAATGTTTAGAAAGTAAGTAACACACATGTATTTTTGTGTGCGTGCTAAGATAAGCGATAAACGTAAATGTTTACATTCATGTTTACAAAATGTAGTTCATCATTATTATATTTATGATTGGCTTACTGCTGATATATGTAGTAGAAAATGTAATGTGATCAGAGAGTAAGACTTAAACGATTTGGACTGAGTGACAGCGTAGTGCAAACAGAAATGAAGCATACATATCAGTAACACTTCAGGCACCATGAATTCCCTCTGAGCATCTGCTTTTGACTTCTGAGCATTTGTATAAGAGTCTCCACGTATTACGAAACAGCCTTCTGCTTTCCCTGTATTACCTTATCTATGGCTTTATAGAGGTAATGGACATTGAATTAATGTTGACTTGACCATGATGTGCAAAGTCCCTTTGTTTCATATATTTTGTCTGATTATTTAGTTGAATCAGTTCCTTTTTTATTCCATCTTGAGCAGAAGCATAAGGCCAACAAAATGACACTTTGACCAAATGTTTATATAGTTTTTGTCCAAAGAACAAGATGAACTTTATCAGAAAATTATAAAGCATTAATGAATCTACCAATTATGCAGGATTAGGTTAATTTAGGTCTAGGCTCCATTATGGTCAAAGGCCATGGGTTGGTATTCAGAATTCTGGACATATTGTTCATATGATAAAAGAACTATCTCTTCTAAATTAGGGGAATAAGTAGAAAAGTATATAAGCAACCCCAAAGAAATCAGGATGCAGGGAAGTAGGCAAAAGCTGCTGAGGCCACATGCCATGAACTTCAGATCTGCTCTCTCCCTACCTTCTCTGGTCTAGTCCTGAATGGAAAATAAAGTACACAGTTTAAAAAACAAACTGCAAAGTGGTATTTATTTACATTAAAATGTGAATTACCTGTACACACACACGTTTAAGAGGCACAATCTGCTATGCACAAGAACTATATAATTCAGTATATGGTATACACAGTAGCATCTATTAAGTCAGTGGTTTGAGTGAAAACACAGTACCAAAACATTCCTGATACAAAATAAATTACTCACTCACATATTCTAATCATACAACAGTTAATATTTAAAAAGTTATACACTTCAAAAAACACTAGCTAGATGTACAACCAAATGTATTCAGTTTGTTTTATGAAAAATGTCTTCATATTAGGCTTAAATATCCCTTCCAGGAAGCATTTTTATCTTTTAAATAAATAAACTACATTGATCTCAAGACCATTTATATATTGCCCCCTGAAATATGATCGAAGGCAGACATTACTTCGTATTTTTAAAGGTGTAACTATACTAGAGAATATGCTAAACGTTGCCTCCAAATTCCAACACTGCCATTCTATTTTTCAGACACAATCGAAATATTTAAATTCTCATTTTAGTGTAGGAGATTAGCTGCCCTGTATTTTTACAAATTGTTTCCACTGAATTGTTAACAGATTGTCCTGAACTATCCCATATATTTGAGAAAGTCAAAGTTTTTTTTAAAAAATGCTAAAATGCTTCAGGTTAAAATTGATACTATATGTGGAGATTTTGATAGATTGAACACTTTTAAAGATCTTCACCAAAAGATCTTTTCCAATCTAACATCTATTAAAGATTCATACTGAGTCTGAGAGAACCTCAAATATTTTCGTGATGCAGTGAAGGGTTCATCTTTGGCATTTCTCTGTTAGTTCTAAAATAAAATATGTCAACAAACTTTTTTTTTCTAACTACTAGACATTCTGTACACAGAACAATTTGATTAAAATTGTGTCTTAACAGCAATCTCATTGCTCACATTGCTTTTTTAGATCTGCAAAAAATATTAGCATTCAGCTTTTTACTATGAGAAGCTGAAATATTTTGAAGTTGCTGAAATGAATTTGCTTAGTTCTCTTCTCAGTGATTGGAAATTCAACACCCTTTAAATTCAACAATGGATATAAAGCAGACATTACATTAACAAACATGTTGACCAGCCTGTAATCTTTTGAGAACTGGTATGAAGCATGCTTTATTAAGAAAAATAGAACTGCTTGCTATATTTTCTTTCTTGGTCCCTGTAGCTTTTCTAAAAGGAAACAAACAAGACTGCTACAAATGCTGATTTGTAGAAATTTTTCCACATTGCCCTCCACATTGGATTGACACATTACTTCCAATATGCACATTTTCTTTTGCTCTCATCACATACTAACCTTAAGGCTAAAAACAGTCCAGGAGTGACTATTGTAAAATGATAGTGGGAAACAGTAATAAGGATTTTACAGCTGAGCATATTTGCCTCACTCAAAACCAGTATGGGGAAAAATCTCAGTAAAAACTGAATCAAGTAGGATCTGATAGTTCAAATGCAAGCTACATTCTCCAGGGCTTACTGAAAATAAACAAAGATACAACAACAAAAACATAAATACTGTAGCTAATTACTACTAATTACCAATGTCTGCAAAGGTTGTGGATAACAAAAAAGAGCTAGTAATGATGGCTTTATTGTGACATTAAGACATGTATCAAATGAAATTAATAATTCCTGTTTTCTAACCAGGCTGAATCATGGAAATCCAAGCAGAGAATGATGCATAACAAATGAAGGAACTAGAGTGTAAACTGGTTACTTTTACTACCTGGTATTGAAACATTTGAATAAATGTTAGAAAGAAAATAAATTGATACAATAAATATATTTTGAAAATTCAGAGACTGCAGATTATATGAATAGAACACATAATTTTGGATTTGTAAAAGCAAATTTATTACATACTTGGCAGTTACTGAATGTTATATATGCAGCTTATATTAATAATACTGCTTATCTCCCAGCCAATGTAAAAATCTGACACTAATATGGTCCTTCAAGTACAGTTCAAACTAACAGTTACATGTGATAACCAAGTCAATCAATTACCAGCTCCTGCTAATACAATTTAGTAAGAACTGGGAATTGTAAAATTGGCACTAGGCGATGTTTACAGAATACAATTTTAAATGCATCTGGTTATCTACTTCCAGAATCCAAAACACAAAGTCACCCATGCTCCTTTAAGAGTTTTACCTCAATTCTGTCATTTTAGAAGTATTTGCTGGAATGGGATCTCTCCAAAATCAAATAGGATCCATCTGGTCACATTTAATCCTAAAATAAAATGTTATGTAAATTTCTATGTCTAAATGTTACCTTTCAGGTAAATTTGTGAGATATTTTAGAGATTTTTCTCTATTGGAGGAGGTGGTCTGATAAGAAGGAAGAGATCATCAGACAATCATAAATATTCATCCCTCCATAACTCAGTTAAAGTTGGTCTTCTGTAAATGCTTGTTGGGAATTTCTAAAGCACTGACTTGAAGAGGCCAAGAGCCTCCATCAATCCCTGCTTGGATGGCCACTCCTGTCACCACAGCCAAGTCAGGGTCTACAGAAGTGTTGGGATCCTTTCCAAAGAACTCTTGAATGACTTGGCGGATTCGAGGAATACGAGTAGAGCCCCCAACCAAAACCACCTCATCAATCTCAGTCTTTTCCAGGTGGCCTTCTTTTAGTACTTGCTGAATAGGTACAAGTATTTTCTGGAAGAGATCTTCATTAAGAGTGTCAAAGAGCTTCCGTGATATTTCTGTTTCAAATAACACCTGACTTTCTCCACTTTTCTTTTCAGAAAGGCCAGCTCCAAACACACTGTTCACATGGTGACCATCAGCGGGGGAAAATCTGTCCTTTGGCAGTTCAGTGTCACTAGTCTGAAGTTCCTTCTTGTCCTCTGCCTCCACTGTTAGTAATACTGACAACTGAGCAGACTGATGAAGAGTCAGGTTTAATTTGACCATTTCCACAGCTTGTCTTAATCTGTGAATTTCTTCTTTCCTAGAGGGTCGAAAGCCATATGTTTGATAGATCTGTTTATATAAATACTGAAGCAATCTTTGATTGAAGTCCTGTCCTCCAAGTTTATTGTTTCCTAAGTTAGAAATAAAAAGGCTTACGTTATATTTATGCATTTGTATGTGTATGCGCATACACATGTCTGTGTAGTATTAAGATTTTATTCATATAAAAACTGACTAAAAATAATTGGGTTAAAATGATTTTAACTAAAATGTATTCTTTAAAAAATGGTGCATATCTGTTTAAAATTTTTATTTTTTAATTTTTAATATAATTTATTGTCAAGGTAGCTAACATAGAGTGTATAAAGTATGCTTTTGGCTTCGGGAGTAGATTCCCATGATTCATCACTTACATACCACATCCAGTGCTCATCCCAACAAGTGCCCTCCTCAGTGCCCATCACCCATTTTACCCTCTCCCTCGGCCCCTGTAAGCTGTGCTTACAGCTCAGAGCCTGGAGCCTATTTCAGATTCTGTGTCTCCCTCTCTCTCTGACCCTCCCCTGCTCACGCTGTCTCTCTCTCTCTCAGAAATAAATAAAACGTTAAAAAATTAAAAAAAAAAAAAACACTTAACACATTAGGTGTGGAAGGAAAGCACTGTGTGAACCTCTTTTAGTCTCCCTGTATTTTTCTTACCAGACATTGCTCGGGTTAGAAACATTCCTCCTTGTTTATTTAGCAATGACACATCTAGAGTTCCTCCACCCAAATCTATCACCAAAACGTGAAAGACATCAGCCTTGTGGAGGCCATAGGCCATAGCTGCTGCCGTGGGTTCATTTATTACCCTCAAGATCTTCAGTCCTGTAATATTGGTTGAAGAAAGAACAATGCATCAGAGGACACCATTACCAAAATTCCTTCCCGTTCAACTTCATACAATGTTAGTGTGTTTTCTACAGCATGAACTCCAATGAGTAACAATGACAGTAGTCACAAAGCCATCAAAAATAATGAAATAGGAAGGATAAACATTGGTTGTTCTTAATAGTATCATTAAAATTGTTCTAAATATTATTAATATAAAAAAAGAAAAGCCCAGATTCAGTGGAATATATCATTCTAGTCTTTATTAATTAATATTTAATTAAAAAATCTTAGCCCCTTCTAATTTTCATTATTTTACTTGGAAATAATGAGCAATAAAACCTTAATCGTTATCTGCTATAATAAATTGCTGTGGAAATGAAAGCCTGGAGCCTGCTTCAAATTCTGTGTCTCGTTCTCTCTCTGGCTCTCCCCCGCTTGCTCACTAGCACTCTTTCTCTCTCAAAAATATATAAAACATTAAAATAAAAAACTAACTAAATAAAATGACTCTGATAGAGGTTTCTGGGTGGCTCAGTGGGTTCAGCATCTGACTCTTGATTTCAGCTCAGGTCATGATCTCAGTTTGTGGGATCGAGTCCCATGCTGGGCGCTGTGCTTAGGATTTTTCTCTCTCTCCTTCTCTCTGCCCTTCCCCTACTTGTCCTTTGTCTCTGTCAAAATAAATAAACTAAAAAAAAAAAAAAAAAAAAGACTTTGATAAAAACAAATAGAAAAAACAATTAGATGAAATATTCTAGTAGATACAATGACTCTTAAAGTATACTTAAAATTTAGGATCATCCAAAAGAAAAAAAAAAATTGGACCCTCAAGTGCAAATCTGAAATATACAACAATCTGATCTTGAAGATAACGTTAAACATTACAGTGAACAGTGAAAGTGCAGGCAAAAGATAAGATTTCCTTGTGCAAACTTCCTGCCTTAACCTACGTGCCACACTTAATGAGTGGTTTAGAAAGAATATATATATATATATATTTCAGGATATATATATATCAGTATATATATATATATATATATATATCAGGAACCATTAAGATTCAGATAAATTCTGAAAAATTTATTTAAAACCTAACACCGTTTTTTCTAGCTCTCTGATTTTGTCACTTGCTCTGCTTCTGGCCACACTACCAACTTCCTATCTTCATATGTACCAGCATATCCCCATTTTAAGGCTGCTAAACTGACTGTTCCCTCCCCTGAAACAGACTTCTTCTTGCCTAACAACCTTGCTTCCTTCAAATCTGCTGACATGTCACTTTCTCAAGGAGGCCTGCCTGGCCACTCTAAACCCTGCGTCCCCCACGTCCTGACCACCCCCAGCAATCCTCATCTTATGCTGCTCTTTCTTCTATAGCACGTTTCTTTCTGATACACACTATGTCAGGGGTGTGCACCAGGGCCAATTCTGGCCCTCAGGAACAATGGGCCATGCCAGGGAACAGGAGACTGTCACTACCTGGAGAGGATGGTGCTGCTGGCATCTAATAAGCAGAAGCTAGGGATGCTACTAACTCTCCTATAATGCACAGGACAGTTCCCCACAACACATAATTATCTAGGCCCAAATATCCACAACTAGGAGTAGAAAACCCTACAATATTCTTATCTTTAATACAGACCTTCTATTTCCCTCCAATAGAAGAGAAGTTCATGGGAACAGGGATTTATGTTTTGTTTGCCAAGGCACCCAATATTTGCTGGATGGTTTTAAATGATTTCTCTTCCACCTCTGATTTTTAAAAAAAACATTACATTCATCTTAACATTAAAGAAAATTTATAAAAAAATTCCTCATTGCTACCATGAACTCGTGTCCTCAGCCTTTGTTATAGGACTATCTGATTGGCCGTTGTCAAAATATGTTGCATTTTACATCGTGCTATAAAATTTTCTTAATTTTTGTTTGTAAATTTATATGGAAATCCATTTAATTTACCTACTTTGGGTTTATTTACATGCCTAATTAATTAGGTGGTTTGCAAACTGATATACCTTACCACAGGAGATTTTCAACCTAAGAATATTTTGAGAAAAAAAAATGCAACACTGGCAAGGGTGGTATTACCTGCAAGGTTAGCGGCTTCAATTGTTGAATTTCTCTGTTTTAGATCAAATTCTGCCGGTACAGAAATAACTGCGTTGGCAACTGGCATTCCAAGATACTCCTCTGCCATTTGCTTTAACTTCAACAGCAGTCTAGAGCCAACGTATTCTGGGGAAACGGTGATGGTTTCGTTACTGGTCACCGAAAACTCAACCATTCCATTTTTGTTTAAAACCTATGAATAGGATTAAGCAAAAATAAATACATGAATAAATAAATGTAAAAATGTGTGTGTACGCCTACACATACACACACATCTATTTAAACACATATATACATACACACTGCACTTACTCAATAAAAATTTAACTTCATAAGGTCATAAAATATTTTGTCATCTATCACTTACCAAGATGAGAAGTTATTAAAAGTTATACTTTAAAATCTATGAAGTGAATCTACACCATCGCCTTCAATAATAGCAGAATAAATCAAATTCATCACCAAGCATATGTATGGAACAGAGAAGATCTTCAATATATATTTGTTAGATGAATGAAAGAAAAGATGAAATATAAGGAATAAAAGTTGCTGGATCATGTATTTGATTCAGGATCTTCTAATTGTTTACAAAAATAACAGATAACTGAACAAATGTTCTGGTACATTGTAACAAGAATAGTTTTAGTAGCTCATTATGTTCTTATCCAAGAATCAAGTATTACTTACATTCCAATTTCCATGAAAACATGTATCATATATTAGTTCCTTATCCCGGTTAATGTAGTTGTGTATATTTAAAAAACTGAATTAGGGGCACCTGGGTGGCCCAATCAGTTAAGCATCTGACTTTTGATTTTGCCTCAAGTCATGATCTCAGTTTGTGGGGTATGAAGCCTTGAATCCAGCTCTGCACTGACAGCATAGAGCCTGCTTGGGATTCTCTCTCCCTCTCCCCTGCTTGTGCACGCATGCTCTCTCTCTCTCAAACAAATAAATTTTTAAAAATTAACAAAAATTAAAAAATAGATTGATTCTAAAACATGCTGTCCTACTTTCACCAATAGACTATATTCATATCAATAGTAAAGAGAATTAGTCTGTTCTAAGAAACAGTAAGAATTTTACTCTCATCATTCTAGACTATATAATTAGGTTTCAATGAAGAAAACTTAACATTCACAAACCTATCTGGGAAAAACAAAAACAAGCTACAGACATGATTAAAATAAGAGTTAAAAACACCATACCATCAGAGCCCATGTGATACAGAAACAACAAAAAAATCAAACACTTAAAAGCTTAACGACGACAACAACAATAACAACAACTCAAAATAACTCTGCGTTGGAAAGCAGTACAGAGGTTCCTCAAAAAACTGAAGCTATAACTACCAAATGATGTAGAAGTCTACTTCTAGGAATATATCCTTATAAAGAAAAGCTATCTGTACTCCCACGTTCACAGCAGCATTACTTACAATAGCCAAGCCGTGAAAACAACCTAAGTGTCTATCAACAGATAAATGGATAATGTTGTGATATACATACATAACAGAATATTATTCGGCCATGAAAAAGAAAATCCTTCTATCTCTAACAACATGAATGGACCCTAAGGGTATAATGCTAAGTGCCAGAAAGTCAGAGAAAGACAAAACTATATGACCTCTCATATGTAGAATTTAAAACAACAACCAAACTTAGATGTATTTGAAAGCTGTTGTGAGAGTAAACTCTAAGAGCTCTCACAACAAAGGAAAAAATATTTTTTTAAAATTTTATTTCTGAAAGACAGAGAGATAGCATGAGCAGAGGAGGGTAAGAGAGAGGGAGACACAGAATCGTAAACAGGCTCCAGGCTCTGAGTTAGCTGTCAGCACAGAGCCTGACTCAGGGCTCAAACCCACGAACTGTGACATCATGACCTGAGCTGAAGTTGGATGCTTAACCGACTGAGCCACCCAGGCGCCCCTCTTTTTTTGTATCTATATAGGATGATGGATGTTAACTTATTGTACTAATCCCTTCATAATATGTTTAAGTCAAATCATTATGTTGTACATCATAAACTTATATAGGGCTGTATGTCAATTATATCCTAAAACTTAGGGAAAAAATAACTCTTGCATCAATAATATACTAAAAATCACAATTTTGATGACAGGTTTAACTTGATATAATTTAATCATGGCTTAAGAGAAAGATTTACAAATTAATAAAGGATTATAAGAATAAAGCTAAAAAAGAACAAAGAAATAAATATCAGAAAAACGTGGGATAAATTTAAGTTCTCCTTTGAAAATGCATAAAAATTTTGAGAATTTTATTCAGTAAGTAGCACTGATACAGTTATGACTTTTAAAATCTATTCACTTAGAATTCCACCTCATAATTGCCAGAAGAAAACTCCTCTATGGAAAGAATATTTAAATGTTTAAAACATGTGCGTGGGGGGGATGGATGAAATAAGTGATGGGGATTAAAAAGTACACTTACCGTGATGGAAAAAAAAATGTGTTGTAGGAAAAATTAAAATATTTAAAAGAAAAAACAGCAAACCATAGCCTTACAAATCCTCAAGTAAAAGCATTAGGAAAAAAATACAAATGGATAGGGTGGGAGTGGCCATTGTAAGCCTGGTAAGGGTCTAAAACCATTTTTTTTTTTTAAATTTTAAGATGATTTGCCACATGAAAATTTAACATTACAGCATCAGTTAAAGGAAAAGAAAATTTAAAAAAAAAAAACACTGAAAACATATCACAAAGGTACTTTATAGTCATTTAAAAAAGATACCCCGCAAAATAGGATGACAAGAAATGGATCACTACAGAAAATAAAAATGCCATGAACAAATTTTTAAAAAATCTGACCTCACTAAAAATCAAAGGAATGCAAATTAATACAAGATATCATTTTCACTTATTCATTGAAAGATTAAAAAATAGGAACATGGGAAGATATAAGCATTCTAAAAAAGATAGTAGATAAGAGCACACAACCTGTTCAGTGTGCAATTTGGCAATATAAATCAAAGTACTCAAAGAACTCAAATTCTCCTACTTCTACAATTCAAGTTTAGGAAATGATCAAGAAGTACACAAAGATATATGTACAAAGATACTCAAAGAAGCTACAACGTAAGTGGAAAACCAGGGAAAAAATAAAATGCGCACTTATTGAGATTGGACAATTAAAGGAATAGCCGTAACAAGTGACCATGAAAACAATGATGTGAACCTATTATCTAACTGTCCGTGTCACACGGTTGAGTTTCCAGAAAGTCTTAAAACGGCATGCCTGGTAGGATATCTCTTTTTAAGTACACAAATGTGTATAACCTAACACACACACAGCTTCTCTCCGTCTATCTAGCTATCTAGCCAGCCATCCATAGTAACTAGGGGGCTTCATTAACCTTCTTGCTACAATGAGGAGCTAAGCAGGCAGGCAGGTGGACATCCATCCATTGCAGATGGCGGCTCCAGCTTTCTTGCTACAATTACACAAAGGGGTAAGCAGACGTTCTGAGGATGGTGAAGCAAGAATGCTGCTAAGGCTCGAAGTACATGATAGGCAGCAGTGTGGAGCCAGTGAATCAACTCATTCTGGAACTGCTGTAGGGCTGCTTGTTATAATATGACCTCCATGCAGATTAACTAAGGTGAAACAGAATGTTTTATAACTTGAAGCCAAGGCATTATTTGAAACAATATGGTGAACTAAAATTAAAACAGAATCGAGTTTAATCTCTTACCTTAAATGGGTATCTGCCAATCTCAGCCTCCAGCTCTTCTGGGGTAAATATCTTGCCTATGAATCTTTTGGCGTCATAGATTGTGTTCTGAGGATTTGAATCTGCGAGCTCTAAGCTTTCATAACCCACATATACATCATCGTCAGTAAAGGACACCATGCTGGGTATACTAATATGCCCATTTTCATCTGGAATGACCTTTACTTTTCCTGTGCCAGGAAAAAACACCCCAACAGAACAGTAGGTGGTGCCAAGGTCAATGCCAATCACTTTAGGAGTAGGTAATGGTAAATACTGTTGTGCCAAATAGCCAGCCAACAGGAGAGTCAAAACAGCTGATCCTGAAATACAGGCAAATTAAAAGATCTGTCTTATTAAAATAGTACGATATGCTAAATTACTATAGCAAAGTCCCTTTAATTTCACTCTTTGAGATGAGACTAATACAGACTCAAAATATTTTCTTTTACAGTATCAATGGTAACAGTTCTCTCAGACATCAAGTTTTCATACTGCAAAATGATTATACTACAATTAAAATAAAGAACAATACAAACAGATAACTCCTCTAGTTGTATGTCTGTGTACTTCACCTGGGTGAATGAGAAGTAAAAAATTTTAATCGTGCTAATGCTGACAGAAAAAGACATTTATCTCTAGCAAAAGCTAGACAAATGTAATATAGATATATTTCAAATTCTTGATTGAGATTTAGATTTCATAGCTTTATACACAGCTTTAATTATCATTATTAAAAAGAAACCCCATTATTAAAATTTCCACAGCAAAACCTTTGTTATTATCGTAGGGCTAAAACTCTTTTATCTCCTCATCTCCTTTTTCCTTCCAAATGGGTGAACTGGATAAAGTGGTAAAATGATTTTGAAAGTTGTTTACTGTCACTTGACAACAGAACACAGTTAACTTCTGGTATTTAAACAGGATTTAAGGAATACTTCTTGCAGAAGCAGGTAAAGAGAACCATAAATGTGGAACCCTGAAGGCAACATAAAGCGCCCGGAAGGCAGGTTTTGTTCACTGTTGTGTCCCCTCCACCAGGAATGGCTCCTAGCAAATAGCAGATGCTCAACTAATATTAATTGATTAAAAAAAACCTCACAAATGTGAACACCACGCAGACTGTAATCTTAAGTCATGAAGAAAGATGCTACTTTGAATTCACAATTTATCTGTAACTTGGTTTCAGGAGACTATGTCCATACGTGTTACATACGACCTTAACGTCCATCGGTAGGAGTCTGTTTCACTAACTGTAAGCTCATCTTCATTAACACATAACTCAAAAAAGTGGACATCAAGTGCCAACTCCTTTTCCCACTTGCTCCTACGTGGAGAACTTCAGAAACATTTCATTTTCTCGCTCGGGGAGGATTAATTGCTAACCTAGATGGGTGGAAAGAGCATCAGACTACACAGCCAAGAGGCCTGATCTCTCACGACGCAGCATCCCGGGCCTCTGCAGCTCAGGCTGCCGGGGCTGCTCCTCCCCCCTCCCCTACAAAGGGGTCTTGGGGATGCACATTCTTGCGGCCTCTCGAAGGCCTCAATTCAACCAACGATTCAAAATCGACGTTCTTTTGAAAAGAACCCTTCCTGGGGTCCGATGTCCTTGGGATGGACGCAGAGGGTCGCCGGCGGCCCTACTTGGCCTACTCTGGCCCAGACCATTCTAGACGCGACCCCCCAATCCGGCGACCCGAAGAACCAAAATCCGACTCTAAGTCACCTTTTCGCAGCCCTTCCCACGGCGCCAATTGGATCCGGGAGGTGACAACCACTCCCCGCCTGTCCCCGCCTCCCCAAACCGCTCGAGTGTCCGCAACAGCCACAGGGAACCCCCTGGTCACTAACCTAAGATCGTCATCTCTCCGGCCATCACAGTCCCGCCGAAGAGGCTTGGGATGACTGTACCAGACGTGAGGTGCCGCCCCCACACCGCCCCGCAGCCCCAAGGCCTAATGGGTATTGTAGTTCTCTTCCTCCGACGCAGTCGGAGAAGCTACATAGCTCACGGGGGAAAGGACTTCATTTACCGTCAGGTAGCAGGGCTGAGAACTTCCATTCAACCGCTGCCAGTGACGTCTGAGCCGCCCTCCTACGCCAGGGCTGCGGAGCCAATGAGGCTGAGGTGAAGGAGAGCCAAGAAGAGGGCCTGGAATGTATAATCAAACCTGAAGCGACCGGAGCCAAGTGGAGGTAAAAACAATCTTTTTAGCGCTGCCCTACCGCTTTGCCTTATGGGAAGTGTAGTTCCGGCCCGCCCCTCTTCACTGGAGGGAGAGTGAGGACCGTTATGTCGTTCCTTTCTTTGGCCCTGTTTGTAACCAGGCCCGGGTTGAGCCTTTGCTTTTTTATTCTTCGTACCTTTTAAAAGAGTGCTCCTTTGCCTAGATCTAGATTCTGCGTGGGGATGCTCCAAGCGCCACCCCCCACCCCTCCAGCCTTCCTGTAAGAGCCCCTGCAGCAGTGTGGGCACAGACGGAGGCTGCTGGGGCGTCCCTGAAACTACCAATAAGATCCTCAGCCCTCTTCTTTTGTTTTGGGATAAATGAGTTCAAGCAGTCTTCAGTGAATGTGATTTATTCAAGAGAGCAGGGACACATTTTCTTTTGCCAATACCGAAGTGGGCTATTGTAAACGAAAACAAAACACTTTAGCTTTTCTTTTTTTTTTTTTTTTTAAATTAAGTCATAATTGGTAGAAATTGCTTTCATGGACAAGTCCTGTAAAATGTAATGGCCATTTAGGACACTTGTTAAATGTTTTTTTCAGGCCGGAGTCTATAATATACAACCTCCCCCCAACTATTTTTTTGTTTGTTTTGTTTTTTCTTCTTGGTTGCTGGTAGTATTTAATGGCTCTTTTTGAGAGTGTTTGTCTGCTAATGCTGTAAATAAAGATCACCAGAGCTCACCAGAGCTATGGTCCTGGAGAACCGCTAACTGTTTCCTCACCTTAGATGTAAATCAGTCCCTGTTGATAACAGGTCTACCTGCTGGAGTAATAAACCATCACTGGCTTTCCAGCTGATTAAAACATGTATATGAAAATACTGATGGTTATTGAAGGTGAAGTACAGTTAATGGGGATTTATTATAATCTCTCCACTTTTGTACGTTAAAATTTTTTTCATAATGTAAATCATAAAAAGTATGTCTATAGTGAGTACTATTGAGTATAATTTTCTTATGAACAGATAATTCACTCAATTCATGAATATTATTAGGTGTAATGATCATATTAACAAACATTTATATACCATAGTGGTAGCCACTGGTAACAACAGGAGAGACAAAAGGTAAAAACATACATGTAACTTCTTACTGTATATACTGTGAAAGTAAAGGAAACCTCATCTAAAATGGAGCCCAGAAGCCCTGAAGGGGAGTTCGCTGGGACTACCACTGGCTATCAGTTGCTGACCCCACCAGAAGGAATCATACCTTGCATCCTTAGCAGGAATAAGCTTATTTTACTGCCCCAGCAGGACAAAGTAAACTTTTCTCCTTGCCCAGCAAAGCAATAGCCAATGAAAGTTAAAACTCTCACCTGACTCCAATAGACTTTTGTTCAAAAAAGTCCTTCACAATTTCATTCTTTCCTCCATAAAAGCAAGCCACTCACCTTTGTTCCCTGGTCTTGCCTATGGTTCACTATAGTTTACTTGGCCCAAATTGCAATTCCTCTGCTATTACCAAATAAATTCATTTTGCTAATAAAATAACTGGATAGCTTTAGGGTTGACAACACCATTTTTGTGGTATGGACAGAGGGAAGAAACAGAATTGAATCAATCAAGAAGACTTAGTGAAAGAGAATATGTCTAAGAAATATTTAGGAGAGGAAAAGAGAGCCAGGAGTTGGGTTAATAGGATATTATGAAGCAATTGGTTGAAGGTGTCCCAGAAAGAGGGAACTGAATTACCAAGAACATAGAAACAGAAAATAATCTCATAGGTTAGATGTTCTGGATCATAAAGCAATAGGTGAAAGTCTGAGAGGTAAGACTAGAGATATAAACCAAATCAAGAGGGTTAGTCATTTGTGGCAGGCAATGGTCATTGCTATTATCACTGCCACCCGCTCCTTCCTCCTCTGTTAATGGGATCTTGATATGGTCAAGAAGTAGGTAGCGCTTACATAATATCATCGTGGAATGCTCTTAATATAGGAGAGAAACTAAAACAGAACTAAACAGTATCCATTTTTCCATTACTGCCTTAACAAATTACCACAAATTTATTATTTTACATTTCTGTAAATCAGAAATTTGGTATGGATCTCACTGGATTAAATCAAAACAGCAGAGGTCTACAGTCCTTTCTGGAGGTTTTAGAGTGGAATTGTTTCCTGCTAGATGGGAATTGCTGGCACAATTTATTTCCTTGGCAATTGTAGGATCAAGGTTCCTATTTCTTGTTAGCTGTAAACTGAGGCTCATTTCCAGCTTCTAGAAGCCACCCACATTACTTAACTGAGAGACTTTTATCCTCTGTGACAACAGTAGACTCAGAAGACATCATGTGATTATACTGGACCCACCTGGACAACCCAAGATAATCTCCCCATCTCAAGGCTTGTAACTTAAGAATCTGTGAAGTCTGTTTTGCCTTGTAAAGTAACATACTCACAGGTTAGAAGAATTAGAATGTGAACTTAAGCCTACCACTATTTGCTCTGTGGTCCCCAAAGATTTATATCCATCCATATGCAGAGTCTCATCCTACCTACTACAGCATCAACTCAAAGTCCAAAAGGCTCTTCTAAACCTCATCAGCTCAAGAGTCATAAATGTCATTGCCCAGATCATCTAAATTGGGTGGTAACTATGGTCACTTATTCCATCTTGTCTGCTTATAATCGGAGAAACAATGAAATACTTAGATAAGAATGTTGGTTTTACTAATGTTAAATAGAACAGCAAGCCCCAGAGTTGGAAAATAAGGATGAGGGCAGGGATATGGAAAGAAATGTGGATATACTGTTTTCTTCATATTTCTTAGCAAGGAGTTCATAGATATTTGGAATGGAGAATTTAATTGAAGCTTAAATAGGTAATTCAAGGTTGAGAAGACAACGTTCTGAATGATTAAAACATGATAAAATATACAGACAAAAATTAGGTTATAGAGAAGAATAAGTGGGACAAAATTAAAATATATACCTTTTTTTTAGTTTTGCCTAGAAAAGTGTCAATACACATCATGTAAAGTTAAATTTTAAAAATCCATATACCAAAATACATAAAAAAAGGAAACAATAAACCAAAAAAAAAAAACAACCAAAAACCCTTACCAGATAACAGATTTAGGATCAATTGTTATGGTATGCATAAATTAAATGGGGTGGACTAAAAACTGCCAGATTGTCTTTTTTTAATTCACAGTTGTAAGTATTTATTAGAGACTTTTAAATAGATAACTAAATGAAGTTCAATAGCTGGAAAATATCTTAGAGGGCATTTGGACCCACCCCTTTATTTATAGAGAGAAAAATAGAGGCCTAGAGAAGTCAAGAAAATTATTATCTCAATTAGTGTTCATTCTCTTAATAAATTATACTTCACTTTCAATTTGGTGATTAGAGGTAATCTTTAACAATAGTAGCTGGAGTGAAAAATTGTCTAATTATATATCCCAATATTTCTCATTATTATTTCAGAAATGTGCTCCACTAGGAAAATCATTGCCAAATAATAAAAATCTCACTATATATCAAATTCAGGGGACGAATTGTCCTTGTTGTTGTTTAATTCACACTTATTTCTCTTCCCTCATCTATATACAAAAAGTTCATTGAATGTAAAATTGATCTAGTTCTCTGCACATTCATTAAAAGAATAAGTGTATTGAAATTCTAATTCAGTTTGAGTTTCATTGCTAGATTCTATGAAACACTATAATATTTAAACATAAAAGATTACTACTCTGTTAAAATTATGCCATAACAGGACAAATCTCATTTATTGAACCAGAGTATTTATACATTTTTTTCCTTCTTCTAGACTGTTATGGTTCCATATATTTCTGTTTTCGGGGGGTTGAAAATTTATTACATGAAGATTTTTCATATAAAGATATTGATAGGAAATAAATAAATAAATAGGAAATAGTAAGTATCTTCATATCTTCATATAAAGATATTGATAGGAAATAAATAAATAAATAGTAAATAGTAAGTAAAAAACTGGTGCTGTTTTTGTTTTTTTCATAGAATCTTAGTATACAGCCAAACTTTTTAAAAATTAATCTGTTTGCCTTTTATTTTAACAATAGCTTATAATCTGGTTATTGTCTGTAAGTTTCAAATGAATTTAAGTGGAAACAAATATCATATATGTTTACAATCAGAAACATATGATCAAAAATATCTTCCTAACAACAAACCAATACCAAACTTAGAATTATTAGCAATATAATTGAAAGTGAGGTAAGAATACTCATTTACAACTATTATATAACATTACTTTGGAATTAACAGTCTGTGCAAGAAAATAAATAGAAAGTATGTATTCAGGAAAAATAAAGAGGCAAATTTATTATCATTTTCTAGTTATATATTATTGTATTAGTTCAGGCTACTATAGCAAAATAACATAAGCTGTGTAACTCATTAACAACAGAAATGTATTTCTCATAGTTCTGGAGGCTGTGAAGTCCCTGTATCCTGGGTCAAGACTGCTGTCTTCTTTCCATGTCTTCACAGGGTGAAGGAGCAAGGCAACTCTCTGAGGTCTTTTTTATAAGGGTATTAATCACATTCATGATGATTCTACCCCATGATCTAATCACTTCTCAAAGGTCTCACCTTCTAATACTATTATATTGGGGATTACGTTACAGCATATACAGGATATATTTAAGGGGTAGGAAGGAATGATTGCTTTAAAGACATTCCATTGCCATTGTCTTCTATTTTTTTTTATTTTTTTGGAAAGTCAGTCATAAGTTTCATTCTTACTTTTTGAAGGTAATCAAATCTTCTGAAATCACTTTGTGTTGTCTCTGCCTGATTAAAAAATTTCTCTATTTGTTTTCAAGCATTTTACCTATGTTTTGCCATATATAATTCTTTTGTGTTTATCCTTTTTGGGGTTAACTGAGGTTCCTGGATCTCTGGTTGATGCCTCTCATAGTTTTGGAAAAATTCTCATCCATATCTCTTTAAATATTGTTTCTGTCCTTCTGAGATTCCAA